AAAAAGGGGGGGGGGGGGGACGGGACAGACCCATGATGACCCGCGCAGCTAGAAATGAAACTTATTCGGGGGATTTAGAAAAAAATAAATAAGAAATGCAGCAGCCAAGGCGGTTTGCAATACCCTGGACTAAACTCGGCTGACTTAGTGGGGGTCTCTCCCTCTCTCTCTCCTTTCTCTGCTTGTCATTGCTTTTTGGAACGCAGCCTAGGAAAGTCGTCTACGTTACCATGTGTCCTGGTTTATAATTAGAACGAATGTGAGGACTTAGAAAAAACAGACCTATTGGCAAAAAAAAAAAAGAAACCCCAAAAAAACACATTTAGTGCAGCTCTAGAAAAGGCAGGCAGGAGAACGGTGGGGGAAGAGCTCTCCTTTGGAAACTATGTTAATGCCAAAGAAAGAGAAGACATTTAAAATAAATAAAAGGCAATTATTACGCCCTTAGGATTTTTTTTTTTTTAATTTCCGGAGCGCATGAAAATGTAGCTGCTATCGGGTTACCCTCCTGTTTGAAAGGATGAGTATTGTAGGTATAAATAGAAGCTAAGGTCAGAGGCTAAAGGGAGAAAAAGACTCACGTGTCCAGCAGAGACCGATGAGCTGTGAGATGACACCCTCTCCTCATAAGGCTGCGATTGTGGCCCTGACCCGAGTTTGAGCTCCAGGGGAAGACTTCTTGGAAATCTTAAATCTTAAACCAGCACACGGGCAGTCTTATCTCTAAGGTCTCTGAGCCCACAGGGCATTTTTTTTTTTTTCTTCCCACACTTGACCTGTTCCCAACTGAGCATTAACACGCTGCAGATAGATGTGTCTGACCTAAGCCCTAAAAACCAACAACTCCCTCCCTCCTGCGGGTCGAGAGTTTCTGAGAAGCCTTCCCTAGAGGTTTGGCTCCAGAAATTAAAAAGCAAACAGAGAGAGGGGCACCCCGAGTCCGAAGACGTTGGAAAACTGCTGGTAAACCACTAGTAGTTAAGAGCAGGGCTTTGCAATCAGTCCGTCTGGTTTTCGAATCCCAGCTTGGCCACTTGACTTTCCTCATGACCTTGGGCAATTTTCTTCAAGCAGGCTGTGCCCCAGTTTCCGTATTTGGAAAACGGGGAATGATTACAGTGACCCCATCTCCCTCGGAGGGTTAAATGAAGATCAGAGGAACACACATTACAACTGCGCTTAATTACAACACAGGGAGTAATGCTCAATAAATGGTTGCAGTTATTCGAAGAACTGAACCCGTTTAAATATTCATTCCCTGGTCATTCTGCATTAACTATTTTCCTAACGTCTACCCTGCACAGACTTAATAATTTCACTTTGCTTTGGGTTATTTAATAGAGGGACGCCCCATTTTTCAAATTTACATTTGTCATCACTATGGAGGCTAAAGAGCTCTCACGTTTTTATCACAGTTGCAATTTTTCCTTCGTTTTAACTGTCCAGTTGTACTTTTATTTTATGTGCTTGATTTTATCAGATTTATTGGGGGTGACATAGGTTAATAGGGTCACATAGGTTTCAAGTGTACATTTCTTTTTCCCCCCCTTTTTATATGTTTTTTTATTGATTTCAGAGAGAGAGAGAGAGAGAGAGAGAGACATCAATATTGAGAGTCACTGATTGGCTGCCTTCTGCACACCTCCTGCTGGGGTTCAAGGGGCCCATAACCCGGGCATGTGCCCTGACTGGGAATCGAACCTCAATCTCCTGGATCCTAGGTCGAGGCTCAACCGCTGAGCCACGCCGGCCGGGCAAGTGCACATTTGTATGATACGTGATCTGTATATTGCATTGTGTGCCCAGCACCCAAAGTCACCACTGTACTTTTATTATTTGCCGCCCCGCCTATTATTTTGATGAGATCAAGGATAAGATCAAATAATGATAATTAGCACAGTTTAGCAGACATCATCAAGGCTGT